TGTTGATGTGATGAATAATATTAATTGATTTGCGTATATTGAACCAGCTTTGCATCCCTGAAATGAATCCTGTTTGATCGTGGTGTATGATTTTTTGGATGAATTGTTGAAGTCGGTGGGCCAAAATTTTGTTGAGAAGTTTTGCATCAATGTTCATCAAAGAAATGGATCTATAGTTCTCTTTCTTTGATGAGTCCCTGCCTGGTTTTGGGATGAGGGTTATGATGGCTTCATAGAATGTGTTCGGTAGTGAGCTTTCTCTTTCAATTTCATTGAAGAGTTGGAGGAGAATTGGTGTGAGCTTTGCTTTGAAGGCCTTGTAAAGTTCCGCTGTAAAACCATCTGGTCCTGGACTTTTCTTAGCTGGGAGGTCTCTAATTGCTGTTTCTATTTCAATGCTTGATATGGGCCTGTTAAGATAGTTTAACTCATCTTGGTTTAGTTTTGGCATGTCAATATTTGCTAGGAAGAGGTCCTTTTCTGTCAAGTTCTCAAACTTATTAGCATACAGTTTTGAGAAGTATTCCCTTATAATGTTCTGAATCTTGGTTGTTTCCGTGGTGATGTTTCCATTCTCATCTCTGAGTTTATTAATTTGGGTGTGTTCTCTTCTTTTTCTGATAAGATTTGCTAAGGGTCTGTCAATTTTGTTAAGTTTTTCGAAGAACCAACTCTTTGTTTTGTTGATTCTTTCTATAGTTTTTTTGGATTCTAATTCATTTAATTCTGATTTAATTTTGATTATTTCTTTCCATCTACTGGATTGGGGTTTATCTTGCTGCTCTTTTTCAAGGAGGTTTAGATGCGTCATTAAATTGCTAGTTTCAGATCTCTCCAATTTGTTGATGTAGGAGCTCAGAGCTATAAACTTGCCTCTGAGTACTGCCTTTGCTGTGTCCCAGAGGAGCTGGTATTTTGTGTGTTCATTTTTGTTGAATAGCATGAACATTTGAATTTCCTTTCTAATCTCTTCCATGACCCACTCATGATTCAGCAGTGTGTTGTTCAGCCTCCATGTGATACCGGACTTTCTTTGGTGGCTTTTGGTGTTGAGTTGTAATTTTATTCCCTTGTGGTCAGAGAGAATGCATGGTATAACTTCAATGTTTCTGAATTTAGACAAGTTTGCTTTGTGGCCTAAAATGTGGTCTATTTTAGAAAACGTTCCATGTGCTGCTGAGAAAAACGTGTATTCTGATGCTGCTGGGTGAAATGTTCGGTAAATGTCTGTTAAGTCTAGTTGATCTACGCAGCTGTTTAGATCTGTGGTTTCTCTGTTGAGTTTTTGCCGAGTTGATCTATCTAGTGGGGAGAGTGGTGTGTTAAAATCCCCAACAATTAATGTCTTTGGATCTATATGGGATTTGAGGGAAAGTAGTGTTTCTTTGATAAATTTGGGTGCTCCATTGTTTGGCGAATAGATATTTAGAATTGTAATATCCTCCTGAAGGAGAGATCCTTTAATTAGTATGTAGTGACCTTCTTTATCTCTTTTCACGAATTTTAATTTGAAGTCTATTTTATCTGATATTAGGATTGCAACTCCCGCCTGTTTATGCGGTCCGTTTGCTTGGTAGATTTTGTTCCAGCCTTTAACATTGAAAATGTGTTTGTTTTTACGGGCAAGATGTGACTCCTGCAGGCAGCAGATAGAAGGGTCTTGTTTTTTAATCCAACTAGACAGTCTATGTCGCTTAATTGGAGAGTTCAGTCCATTAACATTAAGAGATAGGACTGAGAGGTATTTGGGAGTTCCTGCCATGTTATGTACCTTCTTGGGGGCTGCGAAAACTGGGTTCTTCCTATGGTTCTTGGATTCTCAGTTTGGGTGCAGTTTCTTGGCCTTTATTGTGGTCTTGTTGGTTTTCTATGTGTAGGACATCTTTAAGAATCTTTTGTAGGGCTGGTTTGGTGGAGATGTATTGTTTCAATTTTTCTTTGCTATGGAAGGTTTTTATTTGGCCTTCGGTTATGAAGGAGAGTTTACCTGGGTACAGTATTCTTGGTTGATAGTTGTTTGTTTTTAGGGCATGGCATACATCGTTCCAGGCTCTTCTTGCTTTGATTGTCTCTGCTGAGAAATCTGAGGTGATTCTAATTGGTTTCCCTTTATAAGTGATTACCCTTTTCTCTCTGACAGCTTTAAGGATCTTTCCCTTGTTCTGAGTTGATCCTGTGTGGATTATAATGTGGCGGTGGGATGTCCTATTCTGGTCTGGTCTGTTTGGGGTTCTAAAGGCTTCTTGTATCTGGACAGGCCTATCTTTTTGCATGTTTGGGAAGTTCTCTGCTAGGATCCTGTTAAACAAATTTCCTAGACCATTAACTTCTGTTTCTAGGTGCTCCTCTACATCCATTATCCTTAGATTAGGCCTTCTGATGGTGTCTTCCAGGTGTTGGATAGATCTATCATATTTCTTGGACTTGTCTTGCATGGTTGTATGTTCTTTCTCTATAATATTTAGGCTGTCTTCAATCCCTGAGATTCGATCTTCTGCATGGTCTAACCTGCTGTCAAGACTCTCTACTTTGTTTTTTATCTCTTTTCCTTCTAGTTGGTCAGCTTTGATGGCTTCAAGTTCTTTGTTGAAGCTCTGTTTTAGGTCTTGTATGAATTTCTTTACTTCCTTAATTTGGTGTTCAGTGTTTGTCCTCAAATCACTTAGTTGATTGGTTATGGTTTCTTTGGGCTCCCATTCCTTCTGTTGGGTTCCATTCAGCATTCCCTTTGTGGTCTCCCTGACTTCCTTCAGCTCTTTGTTAATGGATTCCATGAATCCCTTTAATGATCTTTGTGTGTTCTCTACCTGGTCTCTCAATTCCTGTATCACTCTTTGATTAGCTTCCTCCCGTTCGTGGGATTCCTGCAGATCTCTTTGAGTGTTCTCAGCCTGCTCACGCCATTCCTCCCTTTCTCTTTGAGTATTCTCAAGTTGTTCACGCAAATCCTGTATCAGTTTTTGAGTAGCTTCCTCACGCTTATGATATTTCTGTATAAACTTCTGGGATGCCTCTTCTCTCTCCCTGTCACGCTCATACAGAGTCCTTTGTACATTGTCAAACTTTTCATTTATCATGTTTGCCAGCAGTGTTTGTAGAGCTGTTTGGGAACTCTCCTCTGGATTATTCATTATCTGTTCTAACCCCTGATTATCAAGATTGGGAATTGAGATACCCGAATTTGCCATTTTTCTTGTGTTTTTCCGGCTTACTCTGCCCATTTGAGATGAAGATAGCACCAGTTTTGTGCTAGAACACTCTCTTAAGGCAACCATCAACCAAAGTTTGCATTTGTACAGTCAATAGTCTACAGATACAATCTAGTTTTACAGGTACATCTATTCGACATCAAACAACTATATGTTAAAGGACTTCGAACCGCAGAGAAGAATTTGGAAAACCAGAAATTATTAGGGTTAGGGAGAGATGTGGGTAAAAAATAGGAATAGATTGGTGTGGGGAGGCACAGGGAGAGTTAACTATGTCCTAATCACAGTGCAGGAAATAGGTTGGGTAGGATGCAAGTAGAGAGAGAGAGAAAAAGAAGAAAGGGAAAGGGGAATGAAAAGAGACCAGAAAAAAAATAGAAACGTAAAAATTAATGTTATTTTAGAGATTAAAAGACCATCTATTTATAGAGGAATATGAATATGTTGAGAGAAAGGGAGGGACATAGAGGAGATGTGAAAAACTTTAAAAAAATGCTTAAAATATTATATAGGTATAAAGAGGTAGTACTGCTATTAATGAATTTAAGTCTCAGAGGTTTTGAATTGAGTAATAAGTTTGTGGATTAAGTGTGTACACAATGGGGGGTAGGGTCTACTGGTTAACTACGGGTTTATCTGAGGATGTGCAGGACAAGAGTTAAGTCACATAAAGAAGAACAAAGAGGAAAAGATGGAAAGAATAGGAAAGTGAGAAGAAAAGATCAGAAGTTCAGTAGAGCTAGACAAAAAACAAAAAGATAATTAAGAATGAAAGAAAAAGAGAAAGAAGACAAGAAAAGAAAGGAAAACACACATTCATGTATTTCTAAAATAAAAATTATAAGAGGAGAAAAGGAAAAAAAAAAGTTAATGGAAAACAATTAATTTTTCAGAAGAGGCAAAAATTAAAGATTAATAAAAGTTTTAGAAAAGCAAAAAAATTTTTTTTATATATATAAGGTAACAAAAAACGAAAAACAAAACAAAACAAAACAAAAAAGAAAAAAAGAAAAGAAGAAGAAAAAAAAAAAAAAAGGTCTCTGATTTTTTTTTTTGGGGGGGGGGAGGGGTGGGAAGAGTCCTGTATCTCCCTTTTGTCTGTAACCAGAGTCTGGTTGGAGTCTCTGGTCAGCTTGAGGTCCTGTGGCTTGATTGGTTTCTTAAGTCAGTTTGTTGGAACAGGCAGAAAAATGCTCTGCTTTACCCAAGATTTTGAGATTCCCCCTCCCAGGTTAGTTTACTGGGAGGGTGATCTGCTTTGAGAATCACAAAAGAGGGGGATGCAGTGATGAGGCTAGGTTCTGGGTAGAGTTGAGGCCTTTCAACAAACAGTATCTTTTCCCTGGGGCTATTTTGTGAAAAAAACTCACAGCACTCAGTCTGGAGCCATTCTCAGGGTTTCTGTTTTTCAATTGATTGTGGAGGCTGCTAGAGGGAGGGGCAGCCTCTGGCTCTGGTTACCCAGTGAGGAGAGCCACTCCAATGGCTGGCACCTGAGCTGGGTGACTTTTCCCTGGATGGAACTGAGTCTGTGAGGTCACTTCGCCGTTAAGTTCTTGTGACCTGCTAAATGACTCGTTTTATTCCAAGGCCTGAGCTGGAGCTAGCTGCTCCTCCGAGCTTTGTCGGTATCCAAGATGGAGATCACCGGTGCTGGGGGGGGGAGGGGTGGCCTTCCCTCCTCTGCTCCCTGGGAAGGAGTGAGGAAGTGGGGCTTCTACTCACGCCGAGTCTTGGATCCTGGGTCGTCTCTGGTCTGCAAAGTGCAGGATGAAATTGTCCGCTCCTTGTCGGTTCTTGCTGGTGTTGAGTAGAATCCGCTCGCCCGCTGCGTCTGGCTCCTTCGTCCTGGACTCTCTGTGTGAGCGCTCAGGTATGGCCGCGGCTGTGGTCGCCGCTGCGACCCTGCCGCCGCAGCAGCAGCTGCTGGCAGACGCTCAGATGTGTCTGCTTGACTTCCCCTCTCTTGACTAACTCTCTGTCCTGTGATGGCACACTTGGTGTGATTCTCTGGCTTGGGACTGTTCACTGGAACTCTGAAACTGTTTTCTATGCAAGAGCTTGTTCAGATTCCAGCTTCTCCTCCGCCATCTTCCCGGAACTACCTTTTTAAGTATTTTCTATTTTTAAAATTTTATTTTATTGCCAAGATGCTGTACAGAGGGGTTACTGTTACATGAGTAAGGCAATGAATATATTTCTTGTGAAGCATTGTTATAAGCATGTCTTTTTAAAAAGACATCTTTCTTTGAGTTTCATGGAAACATGGTACCCTATGAAAAGTGTATAGGGAGTTTAAATGAAGGCTTCTTTTCTTTCTCAAGTAGCTCAGGACACACTGCACATACATATACAGAAGGAAGATGGGTCATGTATATACACACCAACAAGAGTAAACTATGAAGAGATTTACAATGGTTCAATTATATCTGTTTAGAAAAGATAGGAGTCAGTCTCTAATATGAATGGTATCTAGTGAACAGAAAAGAAGAAAGCTGAAATGCTTCAGTTATCTAATAACACAAACCAAATTTTTAAAATGCCCCTTTTTGACTATGCTAAGTACCAGGTTCATACAGACTTGTAATGCATGAATTGAATGCCTAAGGAGCTTGCTTTGGATTCTCAGGCACTTGGAAGTGTGTGTAGTGTGTAGACTTTTATCAAAACTGACAGAAGGCAAAAGGAAGGGAAAAAGAAAGCATAACAGGAAAAGGCAGACACCGAATCTCTCATAATTTTTACTGTTTGTGCTGACCAGTGTCCAAGCTGGGATCTACAGAAGAACCCTCAGATTAAATATCCTCATCCTTAGGACAAAGTTTCCTTACTTCGTAATAGTGATTGTCATTACAGTTGTCTTTCATTCTGAAATTAAAAGAAAATACTTTCAAACCTCTATGTAAGGCTTGTTTTTACTCAGTGAATTGATTTTATTTGAGCCAAAAACACTCTCCTTAAATAAAAACAGTTAAAGTGCTTGAGGTGTATTTTCTTTTCTTATGTTTTTAAAATTTGCATCTCTTGAACTTCTCCCCATTTTTCTTACTATAAATCTTTGCAGTCACTTGGTAACCTTTATTTTACTAAAGTGACTGATTTTCTTTTTTCTGAGCAACTGAGGAGAGATTCATAAAATAATCTAGTGCAATGGTAATTCTGAAATTAAGTGGAAATAAATGAGAAATTACTAATTTAGAAAAATACATTTAAAAATTAAAATTGCTCATCCATGAACCAATGGAGAATTCTATAACTACTGGGAAAATTCTTATACTTTACGTATCTTTTGGCATGTATATTTTAAAATGAATTTGCATTCAGCAAAAGCTAGGGATTTTACAGATGACTGATGCCTGTGAAAATGAGATTTCTCTCCTGAACTTGCTTTAATTAAAATGCTGTAAGTACAGGAACATTTCAATGTGCCAATCTCCATATTTGGTTAGTGCTAGCTTTCTAGAAAAAAACGTTGCTTTGCTGTGCATTTGAAACAGCACTGTTGCCCAAATTCTGCAATGTTAATACATTGCCTACCTAACACTTTGCACAAATTCTTAGTGAATAATATTGAATACATGATGATGAAATGTAAAAAGGGCTTTTGGTATTGTATGTCTTGTTCTGTTTTTACATTTGCTGCCTGTTTTTAAAAATATTATATTAATTAAATTGGTACTAATGAATTTGCACACAAAGAAATATTTAATTGCGTACACCCAGTTTTGAAATGCTACAGCTGACATAATTCACAATCTATTCTTTTGGATAATTTGACAAGTTATATGTTGTGTTTTACCCATCATGACAGAGATGTTTCCTCTGTAGGAAGCCGATTGGATACCTTCAGATCACAGGACTGTTTCACACAGAGGAAACAGTATGTTCTTTTGCAATGATACACATCATTTAATCCTAATGGTATCAGAATTTATCATATCAGTGTATTTATTTTTTGTGATAAGATACACTATGAGAACTGATTTCCATATTTCCTTACAAACAGAATACTTGCCTCAAATACTGTAAGCCTCATTGTTTTTCTTTTCAGTTCTCTAATTTGACAAATTCCTTGAGTCCCCACACACACAGATTTTTAGACAACAACTGTTTTTAATTTGGTTTAATAACATCAGAAGTTAGAAATACAGTGGAAATTATGTTTTGTAATGAGACTTCAGCTTACTTAACACATTTTTACATAAAGAAATGTGAAACCACTTTCCAGTTTGTTCACAGGACTTGCTAAATGTTACATGAAAAAAGAATAGATTTGCTTTCATTCCACATACACTGGAAAACCTTTTAGTAGACAAAGTAACTGATGTGAAGAATATTTTTTAAGATGTTGAGTCTCATTCATGTTAATAGTATCATTATATAAATTCTACTTCCTATAAGGAATAATTTTCATTTAATGCCACAAATGTATTCAATATTAAATATATGGATAACTATAGGTCAGTAAAGGGGATAAGAATAGCACATATATTTAGATAATTAACCTTAATAGGAAAGAATTATTTTCTAATACAGTAATCAAATTTGAAGTACTTGTGGAACAGGAAAAGAATACGTCGGAAACAGTTTGTCTGTTGTGGGTTTTTTTTGCATACAAGATTCTATACCTTCATATTTTTATGACTGGTTTGTGCCACATGGAAAAGAAGCATAGCAATTTATCAAGACATCATGTATGCTTAAAATTTTAATTCATTGCTAGGCGGTGGTGGCTCACATGTGTAACCCTAGCTACTAAGGAAGTTGAGATCTGAGGATCATAGTTCAAAGCCAGCCCATGCAGGAGAAGTCCATGAGACTCTTATCTCCAATTAACCACCAGAAAACTGGAAGTGGCACTGTGGCTCAAGCAGTAAAGCACTAGCCTTGAGTTGAAGAGCTGAGGGACAGTGCCCAGGCCGAGTTCAAGCCTCATGACAGACAAAAAAATCAATTCATAATTCTATTAAATATGTTATTTACCTTAAAAATCTCATAAATATGTACTCATTATCTTGCCCATGTAATTGTAACCCCCCTGTATGATATTTTCACAATAAAAAGAATCTCAAAGAGATAAAAAAAAAAAGCCTCTAGAAAGTAAATGTATAACTTGTTTTGCCTCTTAAGCTTTTGAAGATTAAATAAATATTCAAAGTAATCTATAATGATATTTAATAGTGATATGAGACATAATCAACTCCAAAATTTTATCTGCCTTACTTAGCATTTGTTATTCAAAAGATACCTAATACTTTATTATTAGAGTATTTTAAAAAAAGACACTAATTATAAATGTTTTAAACAATGTAGAATTTTAAGAGAAAACATATCACAAGGCCAGCCCTCAATGAATGGTCCCAGTTACTAGGTTGCAAGGTACATTTGTAGTGCCTGAATATAAATGTCATGTATAGAAGAAGAGATGGAGATGTATATTGTTATCTATTTATAACCAAAGTCATACCAAAGTAGCAAGAATACCACATTATATCTGAAAACTGGAGATAGGAAAGGCTTCATTTTAAGAATTTTATGAATTTCTCCTTTATAGGTACATAGAATAAGAGATTCTTGCAATTGTTATTGGCCAATGAGAAAGAAAGCCCTAGAGTAAATAAATGTGAATATATTGGAAAAACTGGTCTTGAAAGGACTAGGATGAGATAACTAACATATGACTTTCTACTGGAATTTATTTTAGTGATTGAATATTGGAAAACTTTAAATTACTGAGAATTACTGAGTATCTTACTTTCTTTGTTATCTGATTTGACAGTTTTCAGTGGTTTTCACTATCTTTGAAATATTTTCCAGCTATGAAATTTTCAGATAACTAGCCATAGTGAAAATTAATTCTCTGTAGATGTAAATTATGTGTGTTAAAATGTAGAGAATGATTGCCATGGATATTAAATATTTTGTCAGCTCTTCTATTTTTAAACTCAGTTGGACTTGTCAAATAAGGCTACAAAATTCTATCTGAAAAATGTCCTTTCCCCAGTTGGTAAGAGGTTGTGAGTCCTCATTTGTTAAGTAGAATCTTTGTCATATTAATTATTCAAAATTTTATGTAAGTGATACTATTTCCTTTTCAAAAAGAATTTAGGTAACTATGGCTTTTATAATTGAAATACCTTATGGACTCACTACCTAAAAATCCAGATTAATTAGCACTGTACATTGGTTAATGCTCCATTTCTCTAGTTTATTTTTCTTTTCCTCCACTGACTGATTTCTTCTGCTATTGGTATGGTCTCACTTAAAAATAATAAATGCTATTATTATTAACTGTGATTTTGTTTTTATCATTTGACAGTTTGGAAATCTTTAAATGGATTAATGTATTATAGAGGCTTATCTTGGTTAAGTGAAAGACAACAGAGAAATTGTATATTAATGTTTGTTTTCACACTTGTCCACTCAGAGTACACATCAGCCTTCTCAGCTGCTCCTGATAAGAGGATTGGAGAGTCTTTCTTTACTATGTCTTTTGATCTATGGATCAATTGATAGTAATAACATGATCCATGTATATGTTTATAATTCAGAAAAACCTTTCTGTTTTATAAAAACTACAGATTTTTTTCTTTTGTTGTAGGTTAGTCATAAACTAGATCAATATATATTGATTTTGCTGGTGGGCATAAAGAGAAGGGTCATAAATCCAATCTGAAACTGTCTATGGAAACTTATAGATAAGAGTGAGTTTGTACTTATTTGTTCAATTGTGATATTAGTAAAACATTTTCAAAGTAGGCTCTAAGATAAACCAACATTAGTGTTATGCCCATGAAAATAACCAGATGGCATCCAATAGGCTTCTGAGATTATTACAAGCATAAAAATGAGCTGATACTGTAAAGAATAAAAAATGTTAAATTTTTGTAATGGATAGAAGAATTTCTGCCTTGTTTTCTTTTTGGGGGGCATTTGAATCAATAAGTGTATCTGTGCTTTTTTGTTGTTGTTTTTCTTCTGAGCTTTTCTACTCAGTGGTTCGATGAACTACATGAATATTCAATAAAAAAAAATTATAGCAGCACAAGTTTCCACCTCACAAATATTAATTAGATTGCCTAAATGCTCTCAATTCTTGCACTGTGCACCTTGACCAATTTCATGAATTTTTGCATCTCTTTGCAAATTTATTTCAATATCCTTTTGATAATAGGAATGCTGTACTTCACATTCTACTCAGCACCAATCACAATATCTGTGCACTGTTCTGTGACTAATGAATGAACGAAGTAAGGTCTTCCACACATGGGAAATTTATATTTGCATGAGAGTCATTATGATGAGTAGTCTCCGAGGTGTCACCCGAATGAGTCCCACCCCCACAGCGACACAGGTGGCTGCACTGTAGAGGAGACTGTGAAGTGTAGGATGATTGCAAAATTCTGAGAAAAATATTAAGAAACGTTTTATTTGTCATGTTATATTTGGGAATATTATATCTTGTAATATGATGAGAGAACTCTTTTATAATGACCATGGGCTCTGTCAACTTCTGCAAAAGTAAAGCAGAAGTCGAGTGCTGGTGTCTCTTTTCTGTAATCTTAGCTAGTCAGAAGGCCGAGATCTGAGGATTGTTGTTTGAAATTAGTATGGGCAGGAAAGTCCATGAGATTCTTAACTACAATTAACTACCAAAAAAGAGCAGGAAGTGGAGCTGTGGCTCAAGTGCTAGAGTGCTAGCCTTGAGAAAAAGAGCTCAGGGACAGTGCCAGGCCCTGAGTTCAAGCCCAGGGCTGGCGTCTTTCCCCCATCCCATACACCACCCTCTGTTGCATTGAAACTGAAGATGAATATACATGATCTACTTCTTTTGTGAATATCATTTTTTCCTACATAAGAAAGAAATAAAAGTCATAAGAGATTTATAATTAGATTGACTGATTGTTCTCCACAAGAGGAAACAGCAGAACTTGATTTATTCCTGGATAGGTGATTAGAAAGAAACTTTAATCAGAATTCAGTGGATGGGGCTGGGAATGTGACTTAGTGGTAGAGTGCTTGCCTAGGATACATGAGGCCCTGGATTTGATTCCTTAGTACCATCTGAACTAAACAAGCAAATAAACAACAACAACAACAAACTTCAGTTGAATAAAAATTAAAATATATATCTAAATAACAAATAAATTTTATAAATTATCATTTACATATGAAAAGTACTATAATTCATGAGAAATCTTCATAATAAGAAGTCTATCATTCTTGGTATGAACTAAAAACAAACAAAACTGACTTTGGTATTTTTTTTCAGAGTAAAATCAGCACTGAATATCAGAAAATGCTATCAGAAAACACACCCAATGAAGCTCCAAAAAAAAAAAAAAAAAAAAAAAGAAAATGCTATCAGAAATAATATAATAATAATCTCTGAGAATAATAGAATGAAGAAACAAGTCACTATATAAATATAAAGGTTTGACATATTGTAGACAATATATGGAAAATTTTTTCAGCTGACACATCTCATTCATTTAAAATGTTTTCCAATACATGGGCTCATAATAATATTACATTTTTGTAGTGGAATGTGTTTATTAAATTACTTCATATTTATGAGCAAACATATTCACCTATGTTTTGCTCTTTTGTGGTGGTTACATTTCGACTTTAGTTATACATGTAAATATTTTTAATTGTAGGAAAACTAATTAAAAAACTAAGTAATTCTCACCATTAGTGTTTATGTATCTTGTTTTCCTACTGTGTACTGGCAGTTAGTATTTTCAACTTAATTATTTTTCTTGGCTTTCTCTTCCTGTATTCATTTTGTATTTCATATCATCTTCCTTCCAGCATGGTGTGAATGTGAACAATCCTTCCATCTTTATTGGCTGGCTTGAGGTCTTTCCTGTGAAAAGTGACTAGTAGCAGCCTCAAGTTTTCTAACAGTGCAATACTAGTGAATAAGGAAAGCTATCTTATGTCCCCGAATCCTCCCTACCTGTCACCTAGGCCACTTGTAGTGGCATTCCAGACAATTTTATTTTCTCTGGTATAAATCTTTCCCACTTAACTTCCTCTTGGTCATTTATATCTGACCTTCATATTAAAAGATAATTAAAGTTCATAATATACACAAAGCTAGAACTAAATGTGTCTGAATGAACTGTCTGAGTTGTTGGTTTTTGTTGATTACCAAGCATTTTGCTCTTCTCCTTTTCGGCCATTGCTGAAGCAGAAGCGGCCAAAATGAAGTTCAATCTCTTTGTTATTTCTGACCAAAGCAAGAACTGGAAAAAGCATTTCAATGCACCTTCCCACATTTGCAGGAAGATTATGTCTTCCCCTCTTTCCAAAGAGCTGAGACAGAACTACAATGTGCGGTCTATGCCCATCTGGAAGGATGATGAGGTGCAGGTTGTACGAGGACACTATAAAGGTCAGCAGATTGGCAAAGTCGTCCAGGTATACAGGAAGAAGTATGTCATCTACAGTGAATGGGTACAGTGGGAAAAGGCCAAGTATTTTGTTGCTTTCTTAGACTAGGTCAAAAGCTACTGTTTTACTTTTCCTTGCCACATATTTTCTTAAAATAAAAATATTTTAGAAATAGTAATCTTTCATTTGTCCTCATAATATATTCCTTGCTAAATAGTTTTTTCTAACACAAACCAGCTTTGTGAATCACCCACAAGAAAAATTTGTCTTTTGATACTGGAACTACACTTACAAGGCAGAGTGGTAGAGGAAAATGTATCTTCACGGAAACTATTTTGGTTTTGACAGAGAGTCCTAGGAAACTCTGCATAATGCTTGAAATAGATAAGGAACCAAATCAATTTGAATCTGAACAAACACACAAAGTCTCAAAGATATATGATTTATCATTTCTTTTCTCAATTTATTAAAAAATTGTTATAAAATGCTGACTTTCCACAATGGTTAGTATAGTCTTTAAATAAAACATTTGGAGATACTGACAAACAGAAGCTGGGACTAAATCTGAGAACTCTGGAAAATAAATGTCCTTGATATTCAGAATGTTTTGTGAAGAAATAAAAAGAGAAAGAAACATGGATGCATGTCAGTAAGTGCTATAAATTGTACTCCTGTCCTAGTTAATTATTACTATATACAGTGGCTATTATCACTGTTTCAGTTTTTAACAAAAACTTTCTCACTGCTGAAAAAAATGCTTGCAAATATCTATTTTTCTTAAAAAGTGGTACAATGTATAGAACCAGGTGCTTGAGTATACTCAACACTGTTGCTTCAGCCACAATAAATAACTCCCTTAAATGACCAGTATGCTTATGATTATACAAATGTCGAGAAAGATATTTTTCTATTCTTTCTCCTTATTCTCTTTCAAACCCTATTTTTCCCTGGGAACTCAAAAATGTCTTAGAGCTCCAGGTAAAGTCACGACACTACCTTTGTCATCTTACTGACGACAGGACTAAAAGAAAATTCTGGACAGCAAGGAGCACCAGAGGCTAACTCTAGCTCATTGGTAAGGAAGTGGGCAACATTGTCCTACCCGAAGCCATGCCTCACATGGACAGAGATTCTCATGTTGCTTTCTATGAAATCTCATCCCTCCCACTGAGATGAAGACTGTGCAATTTTTCTTTGAGACAACTATGTATAGTCCTCATTCTGCCTGGAAAAATTTACAAGTCAGTATTTCCTTGTTTCCAAAACCCTGCTTCCATTATGTGTGAATTGGCATTGAGTTCATTCAGAGGTGCTGAATTTCTACTATCACATATAAAAGGGCAATATTTGAATGTAAGGAGATTAGAAAATCAGTTTTACCAAAAAATAGATAATAAACTTTTAAAGAAAGCCTATCACTACATTTGAATTTATGTTGGTCACTTTCAGGCAAATACAAAATTTGCAAACCTAATAAAGGCCTAATACCATTCTCAGAATCTATAAATGCATTGTCAATTTGTGTAACTCATTTCACCTCCCATGTCTTTTGTTTTTGTGTTTTCATTTTTGTTTTATTGTTGGTTGTAGGTCTTGAGATCTGGCCCTCAGTGCTGACCTTCAGCTCTTCAGCTCAAGGCTAGCACTCTACCACTGAAGTCATAGCACCACTTCTGGTTTTCTGGTGGTTTATTGGAGATAAGAGGTTCACGGATGTTTCTGCCTGGGCTGGCTTTGAACTGCTATGATCTGATCTCAGACTCCTAAGTAGCTAGTATTACAGGCATAAGCCACCGGCACCCGACCTACCTCCCATGTCTTTTCATGGATTATTTTGGTCATACTTGAGGAATCCTCATTTTCATTATGTAGCTATGTGAAATGTGATACTTTCTATAAAAACAAAATTATATTATAAAACTAAAAATATTATTTTATACTTGTCTAAATTTGTTGCATCTTTTCTAAAGTTTTCAGAATTAACATGTTTAACAAAATTGACTACTTTTCAACATTTCTATCCTATACTTACAGATCAACACCTTATCAACCACCATCCATTTCCAGGAATTTTCATGAAATAAATATACTTTAAAACAATTTGAGTTAATATTCAAAAATCTATTGATACATTCTCTAGATTATAGTTCAATGGTACAATATAAGCATAGATTGCACCAAACCCTGAGCCTGACACCCAGAATCACCTAACAAAAAGTAAATAAAATAGCCCAAGGCAAAATACTGAAACAAAAATAAAATAACTGGGTACCAGTGGCTCATGCCTGTAATCCTTGCCACTCAGAAGGCTAAGATCTGAGGATTGCCATTGAAAGACAACCCAGTCTGCAAGAATTTTTCTCCAGTTAATCAACAAAGATCTGGAAGTAGAGCTATAGCTAAAGTGGTAGAGCAAAAGAGCTCAATGACAATGCCCAGGCCCCAAGTTCAAGCCCCAGGACTGGCACACAAAAAAACATTGTGACTCAGAAGACTGACTCAATTATTGTTTAATATTTAAATGCCATTCTCTTTTTTACTTGCTTGAAATGTTTCATTCAATTATCTAAAACATTCCATAAATACTGTAGGGTATCATGGTATCAGTAATGCAGGTAATTTCTTATTGATTTGTAAGTTAGATTTAATGATTTTATCATATTCACATTTCATATTCAGTGTTCAATCATTTTGTCAGGATCACTTTTTATAAAACCCTTTCTACTTTAATTGTATGATTGTTAATTTTATATAGTGTAACTGAACCATCATGTTCTCAGATATTTAGACAAACATTGCTTACAAATATTGCTTTGACTATGTTTCTTGGTATGTTTTTGGATGAGATTAACATTTGAACTGGTTAGCTGTTTGAAATGGATTGTACTTCCTAAAATGTGTATGGTTCTCTAGTCAATTGAAGAACTAAATGGAACAAAAAGACAGATACCTAGGCAGCAAGAAAGTGCTCCTCCTGACTGCTTAAAATAGAACAAGAACCATTTTCTACCTTCAAACTCAAACAGAAACAGCTTATCTTCCTGGGTGTCCAGTCTACCTGGTTTTGAACTAAAACTACTATCACTGGATAGTTTGCTGGAATTTAGACTCAATTTGGAAATATTCATTTGCCAGTTCACAACTTATTTGTTAAGGAGTTTCAGTTTCTGGGGTTGGCATTGGACCACTATTCTCCCAATCTTTACATGCAAAATAACTGGGAATATAGATATGAAATGACAAGCTGTGTAAATATTCTCTGTTTCTATAATTCTTTTACTTTTCTCCTCTGAAAAAATAATTTTTATTCTCCCATTCTTAGTATAGTATATTTAACAGTATACAAGGACTTTTTCCATCTCTTCTTAAAAGCTACTATAAATTGTGAAGAACACTGAGGTATTATTAAAAAAACAGGATTTTTTTTGAAGAAATAATGTACTCAAAGTTGACTTTTAACATTTACCACTGTTCAGGTGTTGGAATGGACTGGTTTATTCATAAATGCTGAGAATGTGGACTCTGATTTAAAGATTCTGGCTTTATATAAAAGAAAAAGGTAAGTAAATTGAAACAGAAATGGCTAGAAATTAGGAGTAGTCTAAGGTTTTAGAAATCTTGAGATGAGGGAAGGAAAAAAATTATCAAGAAAAGTTTCAATTTAGTCAAACACGCAAGTGAAAAAATGTAGTACTGTTGAGTGAGAAATACAGAAGATGGCAGAATTTAAAACTGGGGTGTGATTTATTAAATATTCACCTTTGAATCTGTCTTGTTTCACTTGTCATAATTTCTAGTGGTTTCTGAAAATGAAAGCGAGGCCTTGAAAGGAGACTAGAAACAAAGACACACATTTATTTCTGAAGAACAGAAAGATCAATATAAAAGATTAAGGAGGGTGCCAATAGTTTAGAAAATAGTTTAGAGCATACTTAGAGAGAAGCACAAAGTTCAGATTGAGGAAAGCAAATAAGCAAACAAAATAAAACAGAGAACTGTCATAAACTACATATCAGAATGAAAAGCAAATTAGGAAAATATTGAGTTGAAGAATATTTTGATAATATATGATATTGGATGTTGGGTTTAGATATGAAAAGTATTAAGTCCAGTTAAAGTAATGTGTACTTCAGAAGTCAGGTATACAGTTACTATTGAGATATTTGTACTGGTTTGGCAAAAATACACTGCAGATTTTTTTTGCCTGAATAGAAACATTACTTGTCAGCTAAATAAGGACAATTTTGACAGTCCTTAGCTTGCCTACAGTCCATGGGGTCATGAGGAAGGTATTTAAAGGATGAATAATCTCACCTTATTTTTATTTCTATGAGTCTCTAAGGCAGATAAACTGCCTATCCACACATGGGAAATCTCAGCAATTTGTACCAGAATAATGGGGGAATGCCAAGTAGAGCCAGGAGAATGTGGGAATAAGCATTCTTTTACTCACAGTCCATAGAGATTCTAAAATTATAGCTGACAGTTAGAAACCTTCAACTAAATCATGAATGTACAGTTAAAAACTAGTTTTTTAGAGTACAAATCCTGGTTAGGAACTTATTTAACTAAGAATCTAGTTTTCTCCTTGGATTACAATTGTATTTTCTTGGGGACAAGTAGACCATATTTGGATTAGGCTAAAATAGCACAAGGCATATGTCTTTATTATTAGATTTAATTTTTTAAACAGTTCATTATTAATAATAAAATTTACCTATAATTATATATATCAATAAGACAATAAGTAATTGCAGTGCTTTAAACATAATTTAACTTTAATATCTAAGATACTTTATAAATTGTTGAATCTATTGTTTTTTCCTAGTACAGAGGCTTGAACTCTAGGCTTCACACTCTCACTCAGCTTTTTTGGTAAAGGTTGGTGTTTTACCACTTGAGCTACAGCTCTATTTCTGTTTTATTTTATTTTATTTTTTACTGGTTAATTGTCTCATTACTGGTTAAGTGTCTCATGGACTTCAGAAAAATCTGGCTTCAGACTTCAGTCCTCAGATCTTAGCCTGCTGAGTAGATAGGATTACAAACATGAAGCACCAGAAACCAGCTTCT